ATAATGCTATGACATATTGAAAAGTGTATGGATCAACATTATTTTTTTATGAGAAATAATATTTTTAATAATCTCTTTTTCATTCGACATACTTTATCTTAATCAAGATATTAAATTAAATACGATCTAAACATTAGCATCGAAGCGTTTTTTTTTTGATAGTGATTTTAATCACTGTCAGATATCATTATACTTGATCCAACGTCACCTTTTTTTTTTTTTCGTTTTTATGCTTTTCTCATTTTTATATAAATTTGTTATTTAAAACAAACAATTTTTATTATTGAACTTACAAGGTTCGTAAAAATGATTTTACTTGACAGATAAGCCCCAAAATTCGCACAACTCGGTTTTAATATCATCAAGTTATATTAGAAAAATTAAAAAACAAAAAATTATTTTTCAGTTTTTCATAATAATTTAATTAATATATAATAAGTAATTATTTCAGAAACTTAAATGATGGAATAAAATTAGAGACAGATTTGGAATGATCGTCGAAATTTCATAAAGAATTTACTAAAATATTGTAGACAACAAAACATTTTTTATTATTTATTATATAATTCTTATATAATTTTTATAAATGAAATATTACTAATTAATTAAGGTACATTTAATACAAACGCTCTATCTTTATGCAGTCCGCAGCTTCTGTATTTTCGGACAATACAACTATTTGATCATCATCCACCGGATCGTAGCCCAAGTCGACAATCATGTCTTGTTCATAAAGTAACGTTGGCAAAACTTTATTTTCGGGACCCACCGCTGTAATCAAATGTTTATAAGGCGTGTTCACAAGTTCCATAGTTCCTTTTAAAGCATTAACTTCTCTAGCATATCTATAACAACACGTCTTCGCTTCATTTGGGCAATTACCATTTTCACTAATATATTTGTACATATCATTCCCAACCGTTGAAATAATATCTTCACTTTTACTCTGTAAAATGATTATACACCAATTTATAAATAATAATTCAAAATTGTTAGTAAAATTATCTTGAGAATCTGTAATCAAAAATGATTAAAAATTAAAAACGTTAATATAATAACTAATTATTATATTACAATAAATCTTCTTATCTAATATTTATTAAATACTTAGTTTGGTTAATATTAATTTTAGCTTCGATGCGAAGCTGAGAAGGCATTGATTTTACTAAGGTATGTTTTGTTTTTTATCTATTACCACTTTTTCTCAGCTCTCACCGAACCGATTTCTTTCAATGATACGTCATAAGATCAAAAATTGTATCTAGTCGAAGATATTACCTTTAAAAATTGAAAAAATTTCCCTCGTTCCCCGTAAATGGGGAAAACCTCCAAATAATCAACTTAACTTTTGAAAGTGTTCCAGAAATATTGACACTTTTATAAATATCTTAAATTAAAGTTTATGTAATATACTTTATAATGGAAAAAATAATTTTCGGACTTTATTTTATCTTCATTGTGAAAACAGACATCAAAGTTAATAAAAAAAAATACGATTTTTGTAAAAAAATTCTTTTTTATATTTTTAACTTTATAATGCTATAACTTTTTTGAAATTTGTATGGATGAATATAATTCTTTATTTTATGGAATTATGATGTCTTTAACTATCATTTGATATATTTTTTTTATAAATCTGACTCTTTTCCTGCCTACAGGGGGAGATTCAAAATGACAACTTTTTCACAAAAAAATTACTTTTTCAACTTAACTTTTGAAAGTGTTACAGAAATACTGACATTTTTATAAATATCTTAAATTAAAATTAATGTAATGTATTTTATTATAGAAAAAAAAAAAAAAAAATTCGGACTTTATTTTGTTTTCACGATGAAAATGTCTACCCTATGCTATTTTTGTATTAAAATTCTTGATTTTATGTTTTACATTTTTAACTTTCTAATGCTATAACTTATTGAAAAGTGTATGGATCAACACAATTTTTTTATGAGACATAATATTTTTTAATAATCCCTTTTTCATTCGACATACTTTATCTTAATCAGGATATTAATAAGGAACTAGCAGTTTATGAAGCTTTTGGAATAATCCACCAATTTTTTAAAATTAAACACTATCTAAAGATTTGCATCGAAGCGTTTTTTTTTTATAGTGATTTTAATCACTGTCAGATATCATTATACTTGATCCAACTATGCTACGTTACCACTGTGCCGCGACCCCCCTGTGCTGGGTTTTTAAAGATTATGTTTACTTGAATTATACATAAAAAAATGGCATAGCAAATGAGTAGAAGTTAAAAAATTGGTTCAATTTTAATCTATGTTGAAAGTTAACTTACTTATGATTTCAGAATTTAACAAACCACAACTATTGAAACAATTTACTAAATTCTGCTTTATCGTTCAATGATATTGTTGGATTTTACCTGTAAAAATACTATTAGTCTACATGGAATATTCAATACTATATTTTTATCATTAAAAATATGCAACATAGAGTAGGAAAGCTGGAAAAAGTGTGTAAAGGTATATGTCAAATTAATTAATTATTAGAGTTTACTAAAACTTAAATCTGCAATGTTGAAATATTACTATACTCTAACTGACTTATAAATAAATTTAGGTTATACATGAATATTTATTGTATGAATATAGAAAAATTCAATTTAGAAACTCTTATAATAATATTCGCAAACTCTTATTATAAAATCCGCAAAATAAAATGTCATTTATTCATAAAAACGTGTTTTTAATATAATTGTATAAAGTTAACTCATCGTGTTACAATTTTACTCACAAGAGTTAAAAAGAAAAAGAAATAAAAATATTTCATATACATCATCTTTCTGTTAATCTTAACTTTTAAAATAATATTAGAAAAATAACTTTTACGAAATATCCAATTGCTATTTAAAAGTGTTTAAACTATTAACGTATATAAATAATAATTGTTCAAATGAAACTACATCTGTATTTGTCATAAATAAACCATTTAAAAAAATATGAAGCACAAATTGCTGCTAACAATGATTCAAATTAATAGTAATTTTATTTTAAATGTTCTGTAACATTAGAATCTTAATTTTACTATTATAATTACTATTTATCAATAGATGTTCGAGAAAAATATATAGTCCCTTAGATATATTTAAAATATGTATAACGATTGGATTTCTATATTTAAATACTACTAGAACTTATAACTTTTTTTAAAATATTGGTAGTTTTGAATAATTTAATTTAAATGATAATGTAATAGCAAAAATATAAAAAAATACATATGTTAATAAATGGCCTACGAGCAATACATAATTGAACATGTATGTGCATTGTCGACTGTATTGTTCCCACTTTAAATAATTACTTCACTTTATTATGATTATTTTTACTTAAAACTCAATATTTTTGTTAAATAGATGAATCAAAAAAATTGTTTGTAATTACCTTAGGTATTTCTCTTTTATTTGGTAATAAATTTTCGGAAATCTGACCCTTTACGTGTCCTTGATGGGATTCAAAGTAGTAATTTTGACATAAAAAGTTAACCTTTTCAATTCAACCTTTAAAAGTTGTTTTAAATATTTGTAAAAAAAAATTTTTTAAATGGAATATAAAACTGAACTATCAAAGGAGCACAGCAGTCCTCTTGTCCAATCGTCGCCTCAAAACTCCGGTCAATCTAAAACTTTACGGTAACATCATTCATTGGTCACCTAACATCAAATATCTCGATTTAAAATTAGACAGGAAACTAACATGGAACCCACATATTACCTCTAGTTACAACAAGGCTACTAGAGGCTAAAGATACTTTATCCTTTAATAAATCGGTCTTATACTTCAAATAATAAATTGGTCCGGTCCTAGTTGGTCTGTAGTTAAAAATTATCGATCCTTTTTTTTACGGTCCCTTAAAAAGTGAACGATGATAACACTCACTAAAAATTAATACAATAAATGTCACATAAAAGCTGAATTCTTTCAAATAATGACCCACGTTGAATTTCCAGGATCCTGAAATGTGATTTAAATTCATAGTGCATAATGTATTGCTTTCTTACGCTGTCAATCGTTAAGTGTATTACAATATTTCATAGTTTTTCTGCACATTTTGGAATAAACTGATCGTTTTTATTGACTATAATTATGTCTAGACATAGAAAGGTTATTACTGCCNCTATAATTATGTCTAGACATAGAAAGGTTATTACTGCCCATCTAACATACAATATTATTTTAATTCAGTTAAGACTTAAAACCGTGTTTTTAAAGAATTACCCTTGTATTAATAACAATATTACATTTATGAGTCTTTGTACATTATGTTGGATAAAATAAAGTTGCGAAATATCAACCAACATAATCATCTAGCTTTATTTCTTTATCATCGACGAAAGACGTCAGTTATTTTCAATCTGCCTGTAAGTATTTTTTCTTATAAAATAAATTTTTAATTATTTAAAAAATAGTATAATAAAAATAAGCACATATGCTTTTTAGGAGAGATAGAAAATTATTTTTTTTGTACAGCTTTATATTGATAGGTGTTAATTTTTTGTTATAAAATTAAACGTTACTCCTAAAATATTTATCGATGTAAAATAATATGCTAATAATAACTTAGCATATTAACTTTCACTCAGGCTAAATAAACTAATGGCTTTTACTTAACATTTTAAGTGAAAGCTTATTCAAATATATCGTGATAATTAACAATCAGTCATGATTTAATTACCCCATATGTAAGACAATATTTTTTTCGATTAAATAAATTTGATGATATGGAAAAAATTGGCGTTGCCATTTGACATTCGAAATGGTAGCACAAAATTAAATTTTCGTTTAAATTGCTCAACAATGAATCGTTAATGTAAAAAAAAAAATGATTAACAATAATAATTTCAAAGCTATTTCGTGAGGCATAGTTAAGAAATCATTTTGTATGTATAAACTAAATATGTTAAATTATGTACAACACGAATTTGAAATTATTAGTTTACTCAAGGATATTTTTGAGTTATTGAATTTTGTTTATAGCCTATACAGAGTGATTCATTTATCATAAATCATTAACTCAAGTACACACAAAATAATAATATTCATAGTTAAAAAAAAAACATTTTAGTCTTGTTTTTTTTAGAATCATGAATAATTCTCAACAAATTCGCGAGTTCTTGAACTCGACTTCGGTGAGCTCTATTGATGATGACTTTTCAAATAATTCTATTATTCCTTCTAACTTAGAGAATACAACTCAATCAACAATAAATTTAGAAAAAAATCCAGCATTTACTGTCTCTAAAAATACTGTTAAAAGAAAATTATTGAGTGATTTTGGTGATTATACTTTGTTTCTTCACGAGGGGGAAAGTAGTGTATGGAAGAAATTTAAAAGTGTTATGAGTGTGACATCCAATTATACTGACCCTGATAGTCCCGAGCATGTGTTAACAGAATTTATAGCTTGTATTCACTGCAAAGAGGTTTATGGTATAAAAACGGGAACTGCTAATCTTGCAAGACATAAATGTAACATGGTAATAATTAATCAAAAATTTATCAATGAGTTTTCCGTGTCCACAAATAAAGTAAAAAAAGTTATACCAAAACTTTTAAAAGACGAAGCGATTGAAAAATGCGTTAAATACTGTTGCTTAGATATAAGACCTATGTCTGCTATAGAAGTTTAAAGTTTTTTCCAATCTTGCCAGTTTTTATTAGATATTGGTACAAAATTTGGTAAAACTGATATTAAAGATTTGTTACCTCACCCTACAACCATTTCTCGGCATATAGATAAGATCACCAAAGAAATAAGACAAAATTTATTCAAAGACTTATTTCAAACTATAGTTAATAAATATTGTGCATCTACTTGTGACATATGGACAGATAATTACCGTAAAAATAACTATATGTCAGTTACTTTACACTATGTAGACGATAACTGGGAGTTAAAAAGTCGATTACTTTTTAGTGGTCAATTTCTTTCAAATGAAACAAAAACTGGCGAAAATATTAAACTTCTTTTACACAATTTTTATTTTCAAATAATTGAGGCTGCAAACGAAACTAATTATGATTTAATGTCTAATATAACATTTGTTACTGTCCAAGGAACTAATATGATAACAGCACTTAGAAATTTTAAGCGTCCAATTGCTGTGCACATTTCTTTAACACAGTTTTAAGAAATTTATTCGATGATAAATTTTTGAATAATGAAGATGAAGACGGTGAAAAACCTCTGGAACCTGTTACAATATTAATGAATGAATGTAAACATTTAGTAAGGTATATGAAAAGCAGTGGAAGGAATTGTGAACTTAACAAAGGACTTGTACAAGAAGTAGAGAGTAGATGGAACACACGATTATTAATGTTGCAATCTGTACAACGTGCACTTCCAGAAATTATGGAAATTCATTTACAAACATTTAGTCGTGTAAAAAATATTAACGGAGAGTTACTGAAAAAACTCGTTGAATTTTCAGAACTATTTAAAGCAGCATCTGATGAACTTGAATCTGATATACGCAAAGTTATTTTGTTCCAGGCGTTATTAAAAAAACATTTAACTAAATTTACAAAACTGCAAGAATGCAATCATATTAATGGCGATGTCAACATTTCGATTATACTAAAATTATTGGGTAAGAAAGGATTAGAACTCATGAACTCCAAATTCCAGTTGGACATTCAACATGAAATAGCTGTATTTATATCGCCGAAATTCAAATCGTTAAAAATGTTTTTTGAAATTGACAAATTGAGAATTTTAGACGAAATTGATATGAAGTTATATAAAACTCAATCAGAGGAAACTAATGAAATTTATAGTGATTCGCAACAAGAAAATATAAATCGGTTAAATAATAAAAAAAATACAATTTTTTCGGAATGGGAAAATCTTTCAAGTGTAGAAATTTCAGAAAGTCGCTTTAAATATAAAAAAGAGTTGGAAGAATACAAAAATAAATACCTCGATGTCCACGAAGACAATTTATTACAATTTTGGAAAAACAAAAAATTTGAATTCCCATGCCTGTCAAAATTAGCACGACAAATATTGGCTATTCCGGCTAGTAATGCAAGTAGTGAAAGATCATTCAGTACTGCTGGAAGGGTAATAGAAAAACGAAGGGGTTGTTTAAACGGTTCTATAGTTGATGGCATATTATTTTTGAACAATTATTATAAAACTTAACTTTAATAGTATAAAAAGGTAGCACAGTGGGGTCGTGGCATAGTTGGNAAAAAACGGTAGCACAGTGGGGTCGCGGCATAGTGGAGACATTGCATAGTAGGGTCCAGTATAGATTTAATCTGACAGTGATTAAAATCACTATCATAAAAAACGCTTCAATGCAAATCTGTAGATAGTGTTTAATTTAAAAAAAAAAATTTGTTAAAATAGCATATTTTTGAATACGTTAGCCATTTGCGCATAAAAGATAGATTTTCGGGACAAATTTTTTTTTTATTTTATAGTACATAAAATATGCTTTAATTTGACTTACTGAACACCCTGTATGTTTAAAATAATGCAATATTTCCGGAACATTTTCAAAAATTATGTTGAAAAAGTTATCTACTGTAAAAAAGTTGCTATTTTAAATCCCCCCAATGAGCAGAATAAGTGTTAGATTTTCAAAAAAAAAAAAATCAAATGAAAGGGAAATATCTAAGGTTTTAATACAAAAAAATATTATTTTTATTTGTTCATTTTTGAAAAAGTTATGGAAGTTTTAAGTACAAAAAACATCCCGATAAAAGGTAATTTTTATCGCAAACATTAAATTTTTTTTTAATTTTCGACAGCCATTTGCGCATAGAAGATTTATGATTTTTATAATATTCCAATTTTTGAACGCCCCCTATATAAGGGGAAATTGTCCAATTTTAATAAAAAGTATGTCAAATGAGTGATGTACTTATATTGTATTTAGAAAAAAAAAATTTGTGCTGATATATACATTTTTCAAGAAGTTATAGCATTTTTAAGTTGAAAATTTAACTACGACATCCGTTTAATTGTAGAAGAAAAAATGTCGGGACAAATTTTTTCTTTTAATTTTATAGTACATAAAATAAGCTTTAATTTGATATATGTTTGAAGGACGCAGTATTTCCGGAATATTTTCAAAAATTATATTGAAAAAGTTAATTTTTGTATAAAAGTTACTATTTTAAATCCCCCCCAATGAGCAGGTTAAGTGATAGATTTTCAAAAATATGATATCAAATGAAAGGTAGATATCTAAGGTTTTAGTATAAAAAAAAATTATGTACATTTATTTGATTATTCAAAAAGTTATGGAANTTATGTTGATTTGTTGATTTTTCAAAAAGTTATGGAAGTTTTAAGAAAAAAAAGTGAAAAAATTTCGAAAATTAGCGATTTTTAAATTTGTAATTTTTTTGGATATTTCCCCCATTTGCGGGGAACGAATAAGCTAATGTATATTAGCTTCGCATCGAAGCTAATATACATTTTTCTGATTTGTTTAATTTAATTTTATTATTATTATATTAATTATTTGAATTAATGTTCATGTTTTGTTCAGTATAGTCAACATTTTTGTTGTATCTGGATTAATTTTGTCTCAACAGAGTTATTTTATTTAATAGTCTGGTTCGGTTCGGTCCATTTAAAAGTTCTATCCGGTATGGTCCAATTTAAATTTCATATAATAGTTCAGTCCGGTCTTTTTTTTAGTTTTTCAGTACGGTTCGGTCCGGTCCTTGAAAATTCGGACCATGCAGAGCTCTAAAAGAAACTAACAATCAACTTCTTCAACCCCATACATTCAGCTAGCAATGCATTATTCTACAATCTGAATACTCCTACTGTACGCCGTCTCAAGCGTGGTCGCCCACACGACCTTCTTCTCTAAGTTATATTATTATTCTTATTATTATTTTTTGTTTCCTCTCTCGTATTTATAATATTAATTCAATCAAAATCTACGATA